GAGATCCCCAGACATGGAACCCAGACGCATCGCCAACCTTCCCTGTCCACAGCAAAGCAGGGGAGGTCTCTGGCATGGAGACCCGGGGCTGAAGGTTGATCTGATGCGCTGCGTACCGAACCGCAAACGGCCACAGAAAATGGGGGGCAGCCGCATGGACCATGGACGTACGAGCGACGTCCATGACCATGCCAATGCGGCGCTCAGCAATCCCATTTTGCTGTGGAGAGGCTGGAAGCGTGAAGGTCTTGCGGATGCCTCGTGCACGACATAAGGCTCGTAGAAGGTCAGAGGAGAACTCTCCGCCTCTGTCAGAGTGCAGACGCAGAACAGGAAAGTCCGAGCCGAAACTCTCTCTGAGCTGGAGACGAGCTGCGCGGATCCAGGCGATCAACACCTCAGTCACCTCACCCTTGTTGCGCAAGGGGAAGATTGCGGTGTAACGCGAGTAGTCGGACGTAACGCTCGTGACCCTGTCCACGGACGCGGGCTGGGCCCCACACGTCCATGTGAAGCGTCTGCAGCGGAGCCTCTGTCGGAGGAAACTCGGAGGAGTGAGGAGCAGCGCGCTGCCGCCCCTCGATGCAGGGAACGCAGGTGGGGGCAGGCTTCGGAGGAAGGGGAGGGAGGGACCGGGGGAGACCAGAGACAAGGACACGAGAGTTCATGCCTCGAAGATGAGGCCGGGAGGGGTGACCAAGGCGGTGGTGCCAGAGGAGAGTCTGGTGAGACAGGAGACGACACGAGCAGGGGGCAGACTCAGGACCAGACCTGGACGCTGCAGCAAACACCTGACCCGACGCAGCTACCTGACCAGATGAAGTAACTGGAGGAGACTCAGTAGTCAGTGTGTACAGGCTCGACCCCGGCTGACGGGTAAACGTGGCCAAGTGTCGGCCCGTCCGAGCACACGTACAGTGGGTCACTCGCTGACTCGCAGGAGTGAACTGGTGAACCCCCCTATCCTGTAGGTCAGCACCACTCACCAAGTTCGTAGAGAACAAGGGGAGGTACAAACCTGACAGGGTGCCAGAGTGGGCCTCCGGACACGGTAAGACAGTGGAGAAGTGAGCAAGGACAGGACCCGCAGAGGGGTCTGCCAGGGAGACTGCAACCGGCCGACTAAGCGGCGTGAGAGTGGTGCGGTCTCGAAAGAAGGAGCGGGAAGCACCCGAGTCACGGGTGAAGGTTTGTACGACCGCAGCAGGCGCAGCACCGGAGAGAACAGACTCGCCAGCACCTGGAGCAGGAGACTCACTAGTACCTAGAGCAGCAGCCTCACCAGCACCTGAAGCAGGAGACGCACTAGCACCTAGAGCAGCAGCTTCACCAGCACCTGGAGCAGGAGATGCACGAGCACCTAGAGCAACAGCCTCACCGACACCTGGAGCCGGAGATGGACGAGCACCTAGAGCAGCAGCCTCACCAGCACCCTGAGCAGCAGACTGGATACCTGGGTCAGGCGGCACGCACAGGTGACAGGCACCCTCAGCACTAGTAGACAATGCATACATTGCAGTGAGAAGAGAATCATAGTTAAGAGCAAAGAAGTCTACCCTGTGCCTAAGTAGCTCCAGCCAGGAGGGGAGCTCAGCATCGTCGCCGAACACTGTACGCCAAGCGTCGCTCAAACGGGCGAAGCAGCGGGACTCTGTGTGGCCAGGAGTCCCGCAAGGCTGACCAGTCTGGACACCCGTGCGAATGACATACGGGCAGCGAGCAGTACTCAGTGAACCTCCACTTTGCGCGTACCACTCGCGAAGCTGCTGGGGCGAAAGGGTCTCGCGCGGACGACGCTGCGGCTGCACCTGGGCACGACAAGAAGCTCCCGAACCACTCATTCCAGGACGACGGCCTCCCTGACAACCCCAACTAGCGTACCACTCACGAAGCTGTTGGTGCGTGAGAGACTCACGCGGACGGCGCTGGAGCTGCATCTGGCCAAGCCTGGTGCAGCAGTAACAGTAGAAAGAGCAGTAGCAGCAGGAGCAGCAGTAACAGTAGAAAGAGCAGTAGCAGCAGGAGCAGTAGTAACAGTAGAAAGAGCAGTAGCAGCAGGGCAGTGCTCACCAGTGGCGAGAAGGGAAGAGTCCAGCTGCGGCTAGGGCTCAACGGCGGCGTCAGCTCGACAGCGGCGGCGGCTCGACGGCGACGGCTTGACAGCGGCGGCGGCTCGGCGGCGGCGGCTCGACAGCGGCGGCGGCTCGGCGGCGGCGGCTCGTCAGCGGCGGCGGCTCGACGGCGGCGGCTCGACGGTGGCGGCTCGACCGCGGCGGCGGCTTGACAGCGGCAGCGGCGGCGGCTCGACAGCGGCTGTTGCGGCAGCGGCAGGGCCTGGGCGGCAGCGGCGGTGGCGACGGCGGCAGCGGTGGCCGGCAGTGGCAGCGGCTGCAGTTGGCAGCGGTGGCGGCTGCACGGCAGAAGTGGCCGCTGCTGCTGCTGGGGCCGGGAAGGGTCCGGGAGGGGCCACGAAGGGCGGCAACAGGGCTGCTAAGGGGCCACGAGGGGGGGCCACGAGGGGGGGGGGGGGCACGAGGGGTCGAGTGGGGCCGCGGAGGGCCGCGAAGGGCGGCGACGGGGCCGCAGCGGGCGGTTACGGGGCCGCAACGGGCGGGGACGGGGCGGCAACGAGCAGCGACATGGCCGCGAAGGGGCCACGAGGGGCCGAGAGGGGCCGCGGAGGGCCGCGAAGGGCGGCGACAGGGCCGCGGAGGGCGGCGACGGGGCCGAAAGGGCGGCGACGGGGCCGCCCTGGACGACGACGGGGCCGTGAGGGGCGGCGACGGGGCCGCTGCAGGCGGTGACGGGGCCGCTGCGGGCAGTGTCAGGGCCGCTGCGGGCGGCAACGGGGCCGCTGCGGGCAGCGACGGGGCCGCTGCGGGCGGCGACGGGGCCACTGAGGGCGGCGACGCGGCAGCAAGGGCGGCACGAGGGCCGCAATGGGCGGCAACGGGGCCGCTAAGGGCGGCGACGGGGCCGCTAGGGGAGCGACGGGGCCGCTAAGGGGACGCGAGGGGCCGTGAGAGGGGCCTCTAAGGGGGGGCGACGCGACGGGAGGGCGGCCCACGGGGCGCGCCTCGGGCAGGGGCGACTCGCGCTCTGGGCAGATTTTTTTTTTTTTTTTTTAATAATCGAATTTTAGTGGTGGGCCCTAGGAAGCATTCCCACTAGGGAACCTGCTCTGATATCATGTGAAGATTAGAATGAGAATGAATGACTAAGGAATGAAAGTGATGCAAATATGAAACCCTAGAATTGTGTACCCCTTAGTGTCTAACCCGCTATAGCCTACACAGGCTAGATCATATAAGTTTGACAATAGGTGATAACTGAAATGCATAGAATCCGGTGCACGCAACCTACAATGGTGCTAAAACTATAATATAGTAAGTAACATAAGCAAAGCATGCGAAATAATTTAAGGCAAAGCAAGATAATGCATAATACAGTAAATATGTGTAAGGCTAATCGTCGTACTCTCACACGTCCCCCCATCAAAGCTGGGTGGCGTGAGAAACACCCCGCTTGATAAGATAATCGCAGAGAGCATGGCGTGCGTTGCCCTTATCAGTTTTTGCAACCCAACCGTCCTGCAACAGATTGTATTCCTTCCAGTGTACGAGGAACTCGAGCATGTTGCCGCGTATGCGTCGATGAGCGAGAACACATTCCACCTCATACTTTGTTTCATTCTGTACGAGAACAGGTGGTGGTGGCGGTAGCTGTCATCCCTGGAAAAGTTGGTTGGGGTCCTTGTAGGTTCAGTAGCTGAATCTGGAAATAATTGTGAAGCTTCGATGCTGTCGTTAAGCGCAAGTGGAATGTAACAGGCGTCACCATGGCCTCAACGCGGACAAGACCACAGAAGCGAGGTCGGAGCTTGGATGGTAGATGAGACAAGTCCAAGTTGCGTGTGTCAAGAAGCACCTGATCTCTGACTGCTACTGAGTGATCTCATCATTGTCGACCAGCATGCTGCTTCACGGTGATTCGCCACTGAGTCTTCTCCCATAACTGCTGCATGATAGTGACCAATTAGTGTGAGGCTTGGACGTCTACCGGTGTGGTTGGCAGCTGGGGTATGATTGGTTCCCGTCCGTAGCACAGGAAGAAAGAAGGCTTTCATATGGCCGCATGTGATGCGTTGGTGTAAGCGAACTCAAGCGTCGGTAACTGTCAATCCTAGTGGCCGATGTCATCTTTGCAAGCTGTGCGTAGTAACTGTTCAACCACCGGATTGAGTCGCACAGTTTATCCGCCAGTCAGGGGGTGGTACGTTGAATGCATTGCAAGCTTTGTCCCAAACAAACCCCTGAGTCCCTTCAAGAACGTACTCGTGAAATTCGGGTCCTTGCCTGAGACGAATGTAGCGGAGATGCTGTGGATTGTGACGATCTGGTCGAAGAAGAGGCGAACAATTGTTTTAGCAATAGCCGTCGCGTTCGGGATGAAATGTCCTAGTTTATAGCACTTGTCGGTCACCACGACTACAACATCACGCCCTCGTGACGTCGAAGGAAGCCCAGCAATAACATCTAGGCTAACGACTTGCCGTGGCTGCTCCAGTATGGGTAGAGGCTGAAGTAATCCTACTATTCTATGCTTGCTACTTTTCATCCGCTGGCACGTGTCGCATGAGGTGACGACTGCTGCATGTCCGCTGCCATCTAAGGCCAGTAGTAACACTTTGCTAATCCCACGAATGTCTTGTTACTCCCGAAATGTCCTGCGTATGCCACATCATGGAACTTTTCTAGTAGGATCTGTCGGAGTGGGGCACACAGAATGCAAGGACAAATGCGCACAGCACATTCAAAAAATAAGAATGAGAATGCGCACATATACAAAATGCAAAATGCGATGCAGGCACCTGGTTGACATGCAAAAATAAATGTTTGCACCCAACAACTACCACGCCCGTCTCTGCGTCCGCCATTCCCATGTCCCCCTCCTATTTGGTCTTGGTATGGTCTGCCAAGCCCCCCACTTCCCCTGCCGCAATGGCTGCCATCTCCGCGATGCAAGGCACGTCATCCTCACTGCCGGGCTTCGCGACACCCCTACCCGCCTCTGCGCCCCCGGCCTCAACTCACTCTTCTGCCGCCGCTGGCTTTGACGCATCCCCCGCTATCCCCGCCTCGCGCACTGCCATCCTCGGTCCTGTGGCATCGTCCCGCAACCCACGCCATCCGCGCACGGCTGTGGCTGCCTCTATGCTCCTTCCGGCCAGCCGCTGCGTCGTTGTAATAATGTTGTTACCCGAGGCCGGTGTGGAGACCCACCAAGTCGAGATCCTCGCTGGAATTAGTGCCTTCCTCAGTAGCTCTGGCATCATCTCCAAAATTGAAGCAACGGTTGGAGAACTGCTTCGCCTTGCCCGTCGAGTATACGCTTGCTGCTTTTCTCTTGGCCGTTGCAAGCGGATGCGATGGCTTTCCGCGGCCTCTTTCCCCACTTGCTAAGGCGTCCGAACCTCTGCCCCATCCTCCAGAAGGTGTTTCAGGATCAAAATGAGGTTTTACAGCTGCCAAAGCCGCCATTATCACTACTCTCTCCATCTATAATGTTCCATTAGAATACACTCCTGAAGACATTGGGCTGCCTCTATGCTCCTTCCGGCAAGCCGTCGCGTCGTTGTCACAATTCTATTTCTCGAGGCTGGTGTGGAGACCCACCAAGCCGAGATCCTCGGAGGAATCAGAGCCCTCCTCCCCATCCTCTAGAAGGTGTTTGAGGATCGAAATGAGGTGTTTACAGCTACCAAAGTCGCCGGTGTCACCACTCTCTCCATCTGTAATGTTCCATTGGAGTACATCCTAAAGACACTCTTTCCTGCTCAACTTCGCTGAGGCTGACGACAATCATCGGCTTGCTGATCTGACGGACTTTCACCGTGCCTACCACCCGTACAAAATCCCTAATTTCACCCACCTTTCCGATATCACCATTGCAACCCCGGTCGACCCCAACTTCAATCTCATCCCCTCTGAGCTTCTTCAGGGGGAGAACAAGCCGCAGATGATTCTCAAATTCTCCAGTCTGTGCTCGCTCTGTGCCAACAACCACCACACTTCTGACCACGCTGCCTTCGCTGCCAAGCGCAGGCATCGCCTCACCAACAAAAGCACCATCTCTAATGCACAACTATAGCAAGCTAATGGTTTTTCCCCTTTCCCCTCTCTCTGCCCTTGTTTATGCACCATTTATCCTTCTCTCCCCAATCGTTTTTTCTCCTGGTATTGCATCCCCCTTAGCCAACATCCCCTGCTTCCCACTGCTCCACTCCTATCCTCTCCCCCGTATTCACACCCGCCCTTGTTCAGCCCTTCCCCTGGCCTTATGACGACTCTTTTTCTCCCCTGCTCTTTTGGTCCGTTTGATCCCTCCCCTTCCCTCCCGCTCACCGCTTGAGTTTCTTCTCCCCACGACCTTCACCTAATCCACCTTTCTACCCCGCCCCCCGGTGCACCTCGCCCCTGCCCTTGTTATGCCTTCCCCGAGGCCGCACATCGCGTCTTTCCCCCCGCCTTCCCCTTTCATCTCTTTCGCCGTCCCACTCTCACCCTCTCTCCCTTGGCTGAGTCGCACACCCTCCACCGCACTTCCCCTGCCCAGCTCTCCTCCTCTTCCCCGGCTCTACCCCCTTTATCCCCTCTGCCTGTCCGCCCCCTCCTTACGTTATATCCCTCCCTCGACCTCTTAGCCATCGCTTTCCCCCTCTCCGTCGCTCTCAGGCCCTACTGCCCTCTTCTCCCTCATCCTCGCCCTTTTCGTCCCCATCCTTCCTGCCCTCAACCTTTACATCGGGGTGCCTGCCCTCATTGTCTCCCATTTCAGCTCTCCTCGTGCCCTGCACCTTTACCTGCCTCTTCTCACTCTCCCCTCGTACCTGCTGCTCTTGTACCCCATCCTCATTTCGCCCCTCCCCTCCCCCTTACCACCACTCTGTGTCCACCCTCTTTGTCTTGCACTTTCTCACTTTGTTCAATCTTCTGCCCCGCCCCATAACTCAATTTATCCATTTTCCATCCCCTTCCCCTGCCCTGCCCCCTCCCCCGCCTCCTCTCGCTTGTCCCTTGCACCCACTGTTCATGCCCCCCATCCTCATTTTGCCCGTCCCCTCCCTCCTACCACCGCGCTCTCTCCGTTCTACACCTTCTCATTACTACCGATCTTACGTTTGCCCCATTACCCCCCTTCACGGGTCTCCATCCCTTTCCCTTGATTCGCTCCGTCCCCTCCACCTCTCTCCCCCCCCATGTTCTCGATTCGTGCCTTTCTTAAGCCCTAGTCTCGGCCGCGCTGCGCCTATGTTTCCCTCCCTTTCGGAGCCCATGTTTCTCCTCTCCCTTCCGACCTTACGTTTTGCTACAATCTTCATGCTTCCTCATTCCCTTGGCACAAATTTCTCCCACTCTCACTACCCTGTCCCTGCCGTCTTCTTTGTGTGCCTGCCCTCTATCCCCCATCCCCCTCCCCTTGGACTCTCTCTGTCTACCTCCTGCCCTGACCTTCTCAGGGAACATTCTGGGGACCCACACTGGCCCCACCACCTTTCACAATGACCTCATTCTCCTCTTCACTGGTTAAGATACTAATGTCGAACTCTCGATTTGCTCACTCTGCGAATTCGTCTATGGCCCACCGTCGACAGCGCCATAGTGCACCTCCACTCCAACCCCTACTCCGCCCGCGTGAAGGCCACGGCCTACCGCCCGGCTGCTAAGGATTCCTTTGGCCCTTGGCGCGCTCTCACCTTGCCGTAAAGGCACCACGTGGCAGCATTTTGTGCCACCCTTAGACTCGTCACCCCTCAGGGAACTGGATAGAGTCCCCCTCTGGCAGTCCTTTCTTGTTTGTTCAGCATGTTTCTCTCTAGTATCTGTTGACTAATTTTGTGAGCCTATCTTAATGTATGAAATTATTTCCTCGTTGCTCCTTGGAACCATAGCGCTCCCTCCTCCAATACAACTCATTCATCCCAACAACAAGATGTTACCCTTAGTCTCTCTCCCATCAACACACGTCACATATCACTCAACCATTAATATACACTTTCAGGACATAATATTTGTTCTCTTTCTTGGTACCCACAGCCTCCAACAACTTCTTACCCCCCCCCCCCCCCATACAAACTCCTAAGCACGTGGATTCGCGTACCCTTCTGCGCGATGGGCCTCCAATTAGTAGAATGTTAACGCCCATGTGAGCTCGTTGTCTCAACATCAACGGCCATAATATGCTGGTTAAATGAAGTGCTTTAAAGCGTTGGCTTTCCAACTCCCCTCCGCACACTGACATACATATTTTAGTGGACACACGTCTTGCTAAATTGCTGCCTAGACCGTAACTCCAGCTCCGCCCACACTCTTCAGTAAATGCACCCACCCTATATGCATTGAATTCAAATGGGCAACATGGTGGCATCCCCATCCTATCCTTCAATAGAGTAGTCTCTCTCACCTCCTCGTCCCCCTCCGTCGATGGCCGCCTCCTATCTGTACACAACAATTTCTTGCATGAGCTGAGCCTCCTTGCTATCTATGCTACGAGACATGCCAGCGCCTGTCCAACGAACAACCCGTATTGGCTAAACTTATCGTCGTCCAATTTACTTGTGGAGATCCCATATTGTCCAGTTTACTGGTGGATATCCATCCTGACACCCGCATTGGAACAACCCACTACAGCTACAGCTACGATCTCGCCGGTGACTTTAACTCGGTGGTCTACCCTTTAGACCGTAACCGCCCATTTTCTGGTCATTAACCAAATGAGGCCACTATGGTGTCCAATCTCCCGTTGACGACACACATTGTCTGACGAGTACCGCTCACTCCACCTTGCCATCTTTGTGCTCTCCTACTTTGACCACACTGGCTGGGTCGGTACTGGTGTAGTTCTCCCGCCCGCCTCTAGACTAGATCGAATCTATCTATCTAGCTCATTCCTCCCACAGACCTCTGAAACATCATTCCTCTATACCCCCACTAACATTTTTTACTATTCCTTTGCCTGCCTCTGCACCCTTACCTTTGACAACCCGACCGTGGCACCACGACCATGGCATTTCAGCTCTTCTCTCATCCGCCGGCCCCAAGCGGCTGCCATGCTCGAACCTCACCTCCCTTCTTTGCCTTCACGCTCTTCCTTCGAAGCATGGGACTCTTGGAAACTAGCCCTCACCCTTAGCTTCAAACGGTTGAGCACAAACGGGTTACCGGCACTATCGACCACCTCGTACGACTCGTCAGCCGCATCCAGCTCCATTGTGCCCTCTCCCCTCAGTACAATGAAGCAGCCGTACAACTCCTCAAAGCCCACCTACAACTCATAAGATGCGGAGCCTCTAAAACCGCTGAGCCTGCTCTAAAAGAGTGCCCCGACCGTAGTGAGGAGGAGGTCGGCGTCGAGAGTGCTGGATCTGCCACAGCCCCAACCATCTCTCCTTTGAGTGCCCCGACCGTATTGGTTCCGACAACGATGACGCCAAGGGAGCCTGCGGGAGGTCGGCCAGCTGTCGTCCACGTCGAGGATACCGTCGCGCAAGGAAAAGCAGTCGACCAAGTCGACCTCGGCGAAGGACGCCGACTCCTCTGCTGGCAGCAAAGGGCGAGACGGCAAGGAGGCGTCGTGCTCGCTGCGAGGACTTCCAGGCAATGGCGGCAGCTGTGCAATGGTCCTGCTTGACAGCGGCTGCTCGCACCACCTGATGGGGACGAAGGAGGTCTTCGTCGACCTGCAGCCGAGCGGCGACGTCAAGTACGTGCGCGGCTTCAACGAGGCGCTGCAGGACGTCCAGGGTCGAGGCATAGTCCCTTTACAAGGGAAGGCCGGGAAGCAGGTGCTGATCCTCGACGTGCTCTACGTCCCGGGCATGCATGCGAACCTGTTGTCGGCTGGCCAGCTGAAGAAGAACGGCGTGAAGCTGCAGAAAGATGGCGACAGGATGTTGCTCGTTACGGCGACAAGGGAAGTGCTCGGTCGAGCGTCCTACACTAGCCAAGTCCTCCGCACCGACCTGCGTCCCTGCTCGGCGAAGTCAACAGCGCCCATGACGGATGTGGTGGCCCTGCGAGCGATAGTCTCGGCGACGAAGTCGACGGCGGGCATGTGGCACGCAAGGCTTGTGCATGTTGGCGTCGACATCATAACGAGCTCGGCAAAGCACAAAGTCGCCACCAGCCTGGACATCAAGCCGTCGGCCGGTACCGTCTCGCCTTGTGTCTTGTGCGTCGGCAGGAAGCTGGCGAGGCACACCTTCTCCGACCAAGGTTTCGACGCCCACGACGTGCTGGCTGTCGTGTACATCAACTTGTGCGGGCCGTTTCGGGTGGCTGCCAAGGACAGAAGCCTGTACTTTTTGCTGCTGAAAGACTGCAAGACCCGTTCCGTGTGGATGAGGCCGGTCGCAAAGAAGTCCCATGTGTTGCAGGAGTTCGTATAGTGGCTAGCGATGGCTGAGCGGCAGACGAAGAAGTCGGTCCTGATGTTGGGCTTTGACCGGGGAGGGGAGTTCCTCGAGAAGGAGTTCACCGCTTTCGTGGACGGCAAGTGGATCATCCACGACCTCACCTACCCGTACACCCCGCAGCAGAATGGCATGGCGGAGCGGGAGATGCGGACGGTGGTGGAGTCGGTGCGGACGATGCTGCTGCATATGGGCGAGCAGCACCACTGGTGGCACCTTGCTCTGCGGCAGGCCGTCTGGGTCCGCAGCTGCATGGAGGGGTTGACGCTGCCGCCGGGGATGATGCTGTACTTCACCGGAAAGAAGTCCGACTTATCTCTGGCCCGCGTGTTGGGCTGCATGGCGCAATTTCTTTTCCTCGAGCAGCAGCGCGGTAAGAAGCTGAAGCCGAAGGCCAGATAGGACCTTCACTTTGGCGTGTCAGAGGAGAGCAAGGGCTGGGAGCTCCTCGACATCACCGAAAACCGGGTGGTCGCCACGTCGGACATGGGTGTTCTACGAAAGAATGTCGCTCGAGGTGTGAAAGTCGGAGCATGGGCCGGCATCAGGGCGGGCGCAAGTTAACCCGCCGACCGACATCTCGACGGAGACGGTATATGGGGAAGTAATGCACATTATATTAGTACCATCCACATAGGTAAGTGACGCACTTACTTTTAGTACCATCCACATGGGTAAGTTAGTAACACATTTACTCATACTATGATCCATATGTGCAAATCATGAGCATATTCAGAACCATCCATATGTATAAGCAATACACATACTCTTAGTATGATCTCTAAGGGTAAGTAACTCACTTAGTTTTAGTATCATCCACATGGGAAAGTATCGCACTTAGTGTTATTACCGTCGAAATGTCTAACTAACGCACTTACTCTTAGTACCATCCGCGCGTGTTTAGGGTAACGCACTTACTCTTAGTACCATCCGCATGAGTAAGTAACGCACTTCCTCTTAGTACAATCCACATCGGTAAGTGATGCATTTACTCTTAGTACGATCCATATATGTGAGGAACGCACTTACTCAGTACTAACGCACTTACTCTTAGTACAATCCATTTGGGTAAGTAACGTGCATAATGTTAGTAGCATCCACATGGGTAAGTAGCGCACTTACTTTTAGTACCAGCCACATGGGTAACGAACGCTCTTTTTCTTAGAACCATCCATATGGGTAAGTAACGCACTTACGTTTAGTACGATCCACATGGGTAAGTAACGTACTTATTCTTAGTACCATCCACATGGGTAAGTAACGCATTTACTCAAAGTATCATCAATACCATCCATATGTATAAGTTGTGCACATATACTAAGTACGATCTAGTTGGTAAGTAATGCACTTAGTTTTTGTATCATCCACATGGGAGAAGTATCACACTTATTCTTAGTACCATCCACATGTCTAAGTAATGCACTAACCCTTAGTACCATCCACATGGGTAACGCACTTACCCTTAGTACCATCCGCATGAGTAAGTAATGCACTTGCTCTTAGTACAATCCACATAGGTAAGTGATGCATTTACTCTTAGTACGATCCATATATGTGAGGAACGCACTTACTCAGTACCATCCACATGTGTAAGTGATGCACTTACTCTTAGTACCATCCATATGGGTACGTAACGTACCCATAGGTAAGTAACGGACTTAATTTGAGTACCATCCACATAGGTAACAAACGCTCTTACTCTTAGTACCATCCACATAGGTAGGTAACGGATTTACTCTTAGTACGATACATATGTGCAAGTAACGCGCTTACTCAGTACCAATCATATGTGTAACCAACACACTTACTCTTAATACCATCCATATGGGTAAGTAACACATATAATGTTTGTACTATCAACATGGGTGAGTAACGCACTTACTTTTAGTACCATCCACATGGGTAAGTAGTGCACATACTCCTAGTACCGTCCACATGGGTAAATAACACACTCATTCATAGTACCATATTTATGGGTAACTAACGCACTTACTCTTAGTACCATCTACATGGGTAAGAGATGCACTTCCTTTTGTTACCATCCACATGGGTAAGTAACGCACTTACTCTTTGTACCACCCACATGGGTAAGTAGTGCACTTACTTTTACGCGTGTGTAAGTAATACACATACTCTTAGTACCATCCATTTGGGTAAGTAATGCACACAATGTTAGTAGAATCCACATGGGTAGGTAACGCATTTACTCTTAGTACCATCCACTTGGGTAAGTAACGCACTTACTCATAGTACCATTCACATGGGTAAGAAACGCACGTACTCTTAGTACCATCCCCTTGTGTAAGTAACGCACTTACTCTTAGTACCATCTATATGGGTAAGTAACACACTTATGTGTTAGTACCATCCATATGGGTAAGTAACACACTTACTCTTACTACCATCCACACGAATAAGTAACCCACTTACTCTTAGTACCACGAGAACCAAGGATGCCCTTCCTTCTCACAATACGATCAGCTCCCTTTCATTTTGCCACCAGCACCCGATCTGCCCTCACGTCTGGATTTTCCACCGCGACCCAAACCGTTACATCCATGTTGGTCGTTGAAGTCATCGTCCGTCTTTGCACCACGTCCAGCACCCGTACTGTCTGTACCCGGTCATGCCCCACCCGTTACACCCGTGCTGTCCGTACCCGGCTGTGCCCCACCCGTTTCACCCGTACATCATGTGTCTGCCTGTGTTGCCCCATTCAGCCCGTGTCCTGCCCAGTTCTGCCCGTGCTGCCCGTTATGCCCGTGCTGCCCCGCTCTGCCCATGTTGCCCCGTTCTACCCATGTTGCCCCGTTCTGCGCGTGTTGCCCCGTTCAGCCCGTTTCCTGCCCAATTCTACCTGTGTCGTGCCCGTTCCATGCCGTGTTGCCCCGTTCAGCCCGTGTCCTACCCCGTTCTGCCTGTGCTGCCCGTTCTGCCCGTGCTGCCCCGTTGTGCCCGTGTTGCCCCGTTGTGCCCATGTTCCCCTGTTCTGCCCGTGTTGCCCCGTTCAGCCAGTGTCCTGCTCAGTTCTGCCTATATCGTGCCCGTTCTCGTGCCGTGTTGCCCCGTTCAGCATGTGTCCTACCCCATTCTGCCCGTGCGGCCCAGTTGTGCCCGTGTGTTCTGCCCGTGCCCCACCCGTGCTGACCGTACCCGTTTGTGCCCCACCTGTGCTGTTATTTCTCGCTCATGCCCCACCCGGTCTGTGCTGCCCAATCTCGTGCTGCCCATCAACCCCGTGCGACCCATCCCATACAGCACCTAGTTGCTACCCGAACCCGCTACCCGTACCCGTGCTCCTCACACACCGTGCACCTGCTGCGGGGGCGTTCAACCGCAGCCGGGCACCTGTTCCACCGCGGTGGTTCAGCTGCTGATTGGTGGTTGCTGCTTGTCAGCTTCAGAGGGGGCCCCTTGCTGGTGTTCCCACGCCCTGTAATGGGGTTTTACATGTGTACCCTTTCAAGGGGGGCTCTGCACATGGTTAAGCACTTCAGGCATATAGGGGATGTGTCAAAATAGATTTATATCTATTTACTATAATCTGCTTGTAGTGTAGCTGTTGTGCAATTCCCTTGTATGGTGGTACATCTCTTTCACCTTTGTCAGTTTGCTATATGTACCTTGTGTGCTAAAGTGAACTCCTCTATTCTTCGATTCTCCTTGGCACAAACTCCTCGACACCCACTTTGCCTAGCCTAGTAAGCCTAGGCCCCTAATTAAACCCGGTTACTAGTTGAGTCAGTGTTGTAACAGGCTGCACTGTGTTGTATCCGCATGGCAGCAGCGCACCCTCTTCGCAGTTGGTTGGCGTGCTGTGCCCCGTCACATGCACAACGCAGATGCCAAACCGACCACGTGCCAACTGCACCTGATCAGCCACGTTGACCTCGGGATACCACCTCAGAGTCCGGCTTCGCTGAAATCACCTCGGCGACCGTTGCGCACCTCCGCAGAGCCCCGTCACCAGGTAACATGGTCGATCGGGAAACCAGACTAGGTGCTGCACCATGTGCTCGTCGACCTCCCAGGTCAACGACCACCTCTGGCCAACCACTTCTGGTCGACCAGGCCTGCTAGTCGCTAACTTCACCAAGCCGGCCTCCCCAGGTAGGCGCCACGAAGTCAGCGCCCTCCCAAGTTGACCTCGCCGGGTCGACCTCCTAAAGTCGGCGCCCTCCAAATCAGCACCCTGCTCAGGTCGACGAGCCCTGTCGTTGACCACCTGTAGAAGTCGGTTGTGGCGTCCCAAAGTCATTAACCGTGCAGGTCGGCCATGCCCATCAACCTGCGCGCCCAAGTCGGCGTCGCTCACCGTAGTCGGTCGGCCGCACTTCCCACACACGCGACCACGGAGTTGGCTCCGCCCAAGCAAGGACGGGGCCAACACACAACTCCCATTGACACTCCCCATGCAGCAGTATTCCTCGGAGAACAACGCCTTGTCGCAGGCATGCACACAACACACAGCACGACGTTATTCCACCAGCCAGGCAGAAGGGCACGGCACCTACTCCTGCACATCGTCATCACCGTCCCCGAATTCGGCTACGCGTACTTGACCGATTGCGACGGAGCACCGGTTGAAGGCCGGAAATGGCAGCGCCTTCGTCAGGAAGTTGGCCGGCTGCTCAGTGGTAGGGGCGTACTTCAGCACGAACTTCTCGCGTTTCACCATATGCTGCAGCTAGGCGTATCACCACTCCATGTGCTTGAGGTTGCCTTGTAGCCCCAAGCCCTCGGCGACCGTGATGGCTGACTTGTTGTCCACTCGAAGTACGGTCGGTGTCCCAGCGTCCAGCAGCTGGAACTATGTAAGAAGGAAGCGCAATTGGCCTACCTCCTTGCCGGCTTCTGTGGCCGCCACGTATTCCGACTTGGTCCACGAGAGCGTTGCGTACTTGACGAGGAGACGGCGGCCCCTCCGAAGACGACCACGTAGCCACCCGTGCTTGTCTGGTTCTTCTTGTCGCCGACGTCGTCGACGACCATGTAGGTGACCAGCTTTAGTGACTATATATAGGATCGACAGGGTTTAGGATCTAGGATCGAGCTCAGGAAACGGAGTTTGAATTGAATGATCCACCTGGGTACAACACGAGGCTATATATAGTCTCGACACAAGGCTAGTTACCCAAGTGTTACGCAAATGTTCTGAGGGTCGCGAAGCGTCCCGAACAAAACCTTCCTAAACTCAATAGAAAGCAATTCGGTGGAACGAATAGGCTTGAGTTCGGTACACGTAACCTGGTTCGGTGCTATAACTATAATATAATATAGGAATGCACATAACCGATGAAATCAAGCATATCTATGCATGAAAAAAAAAAACCAAGCTAGATATAGCATAATAAAGTCCAGGCAAGCTAGCAAAGCCAGCTTAAGCCGTCGTACTCTCACACGTCCCCCCCTCAAACCTGGGTGGCGTGAGAAACACCCTGCTTAACAAGATAGTCCTTGAGAGCACGCCGTGCGTTGCCCATATCAGCTTCTGCAACCCAACTGTCCTCAGTGGGGCCGTATCCCTTCTAGCGTATCAGGAACTCGAGGGTCTTGCCACCTGTATGAGAAGAGGTGGTGGTGGCGGGAGCTGCCGTCCCTAAAACTGTTGCCGTCCCTAACCCGCCGGCTGCTTCACCCTGAAAATCCACACGCCAGTGACGATGTTCGCCCTAGGTGGGAGAAACTCGTTGACGTAGGTGCCTGTGGACTTCCAGGAAGCCATCTCTGCGTCCATGGCTGTCTGACACTGAGAGGAGTAGGGACCCTCTATTGCCTCTGCGTAAGAGCACGGGATCGGGATGTCTGGTGCATCCAGGTCTCCCTCAGGGGCAACTAGCATGGACACGAGATGAGGAAAAGTAGCAGCAAAACACTGGAACTCCTCCTGCCTGTCCTCAAGGACGTCCGTGCTAAGAGCACACTCACCCCCAATGGACGGAGGACAGACAGACTCAGACTCAGCAACAAGATTAGCGGCGTAGTCTAGACGACAGTGAGCAGCGAAGTCAACAAGCTCAGCAACTAAGGCAGACGCAACAGTGGACTCAAAGGAAGGGTCAGTGATAGCAGTAGACAGGAGACGCGTGACAGTAGGACTAGCAGCACGAAGGGAGTCAGACTCCGGGCCAGCAAGAGCAGGAAGAGAGGACGCTGGAGAAGACGGCAAAGGGACACGCTGTGGAGCAGTGGAAGGACGCAGTGTCATCTGGTGCGTGCCCGGGACCGCAGGAGGACGCTGACGCGGAACACGACGACCAGTGCGAGTAGCACGAACAGGCGACGCAGGACGAGAATCAGGCTCACGACGCTCAGCAAGACCTTCAGTAGGACCAGTGTAGGGAGAAGGAGCAGGCAGTGGGGAGGCCAGCTGTAACTGTGAGTCGGACTAGATAGGCGGTGGACACCCTAAGGAAGGAGCAGGACCAGTAGAGGGCGGAAGACCAAGAACCTGCTCAAGGAGCGGAACGAAGTACGGCCATGGTCGCGCAGCACCTCCAGAACCAGCAGGGACAGCACCAGCACCCCCAGCGTGAGCTCCGACTCCAGCAGTTCCACCAGCTCCAGCAGTACCACAAGCTGCTCCAGTAGCGCCAACTCCAGCACCCACAGGAGCACCGGCTCCAGCAGTACCTCCAGCTCAAGCACCTCTAGCAGCTCCAGCTCCAGCAGGGCCACAGGAAGACGCAGCAGCTCCGGCTGCAGTACCTCCAGCGGCACCTACTCCAGCAGCACCGCCAGCTCCAGCACCGCCAGCAGCTCCAGCACCACTAGCACCACCAGGCCCAGCAGCTCCAGTACCTCCAGTACGAGCACCTCCAGGACCCGTGGCTCTAGCACCCCCAGCAGCATTAGAACCTCTAGCACCGGCAGCACCACCAGCTCCAGCAGCACGGCTCCAGCGCCAAGCAAGCCACTCGCGCGGCTCCTGTGAAGAGAGTAGCTCCCACCGGTACGAAGCACCCGAAGAACCTCCAGGCCCAGCACCGCCAGACTCCACACGAGCAGGCCCAGCACCCTCAGGCTCCGCACCCCCAGACTCAGCAACCCCAGCCTCAGCACCCCCAAACTCAGCACCCCCAGACCCAGCACCCCCAGGCTCCGCACGCTCAGGCTCAGCACCCCCAGACCCGGCACCCTCATGCTCAGCACCCCTAGTAGCACCAGAGTCAACAGCTACCTCGACAGGCTTGACTGCGTCTACCTGGGACACACCTGAGGGGGCAGGAGGGGAGCAGCGCGGTAGGGGAAGAGACGGTAGTAAGCAACTGACTCGTTAAACGTGACGTCCTGGGAAGACAGAACACGGCGCGAGGTGGGGTGGTAAAACTGCCAACCAGGCGCGTCAGGGGGGAAGCCAAGGAAGACGCAGGGAACAGCACGGGAAGACAGCTTGTCTGCAGACAAGTCGCGGACGAAAGCTTGAGATCCCTTGATACGAAATGCAGACGCATCGCCAACCTTCCCCGTCCACTGCAGAGTAGGGGAGGTCTCTGGCATGGAGACCCGGGGCTGAAGGTTGAGCTGATGCGCCGCGTACTGAACCGCGAACGGCCACAAAAAATGGGGAGCAGCCGCATGGATCATGGACGAGCAACGTCCATGACCATGCCAATGCGGCGCTCAGCAATCCCATTTTACTGTGGAGAGGCCGGAAGCGTGAACGTCTAGCGGATGCCCTCCGCACGACAGAAGGCTCGCAGAAGGTCGGAGGAAAACTCCCCACCTCTGTCGGAGTGCAGACGCAGAATAGGAAAGTCCGAGCCAAAACTCTCTCTGAGCTGGAGACGGGCAGCGCGGATCAAGTCGATCGACACCTCAGTGACCTCACCCTTGCGGTGCAAGGGGAAGAGTGTGGTGTAACGCGAGTAGTCGTCAACCACCAGCAGGAAGCAACGCTCGTGACCCTGTCCACGGATGCGGGCTGGGCCCCACACGTCCATGTGGAGAGTCTGCAGGGGAGCCTCTGTCGGAGGAAACTCAGAGGAGTGAGGAGCGGCGCGCTGCCGCCCCTCGACGCAGGGAACGCAGGTAGGGGCAGTCCCCGGGGGAAGGGTAGGGAGGGACCGGGGGAGACCAGAGACAAGGACACGGGAGGCCATGCCTCAGAGACGAGGCAGGGAGGGGTGACCAAGCGAGCCGACCTTCTGCCGGTGCTAAGTGTCCTCGTCCTCAACGACGTGTGAGCTCGGCGTAGGCATCGTCGGAGACTGGCGTCTTTGGGATGCTCCCGGTCTGCGCCTCGTCGATGATTCGCCTTCGCAA